TCTCTTCCTCTGTCTGTATCTCTCTCTTTCTCTCTCTCTCTCTCTCCACCTCACTCCTTCTCCCTCTCTCCCCCCCTTCCTCCCTTCCTCCTTCTCTCTGTTTCTCTCTCTTCCTCTCTCTGTTTCTTTCTCTTCTCTGTCTCTCTGTCTCTGTCTCTCTCTGTCTCTGTGTGTCTCTGTCTCTCTGTCTCTCTCTCTCTCTGTCTCTCTCTCTCTTTCTCTCTCTGTCTCTCTCTCTCTCTCCTTCCCTCCTCTCCCACCGGGCCTGACAGAATGACAAATGAACAGGTTTGTTCCCTAGAGTGGTAAGATGTTTGAACATGGAAAGGCAGAGCTGCCAAGCTGAGGGCCGGGAGGTACAGGTAACATTCTATCTGGCTGGTGTGGCCTGAGAGAAGCCCCAAGGCAAGCCTGAGGTGATAGGGAGAACTCTAGCCTAGGGGCTCAGGAGCCCTCCATTCCAGGGCCAGTTATGCTATATGCCAGCCTCAGTACCTTGGGCAAGTCATTCAAACTCTCTGAACCTGAGCTATAAAAACCCAGGGCTAATGGATACAGCAGAGTAAAACAGAAAGAACAACGAACCAGAAAATAAGACCCAGCTTAATAGCCCAGCTGGGGGAAATCATAACTTTTCTGTGCCTCAGTTTCCATCTCTGTAAAAATATGGGGTTGGACTAGGCCAGGGCTTCTTAACCTTTTTGTGTTCTGGACCCCTTTAGTGGTCTAGTGAAGCCTATGGACCCTCAGAATAATATTTTAAATGCATAAAATGAAATATATAGGATTACGAAGGCAACCAATTGTACTGAAATACAATCGTCAAAAAATTCTACAAATAAATTCATGGGCCTCAGGTTAAGAACCCCAGGTTAAGAATGATCTATAGCATAGCTTCTAGTTCTAAATCTTTGAATCTTAATAGAAGTCATCTGGACAAATAACTATGTGATACTTATTTTCTGTTCACTGTATTTGTCCAGAAGTGATAAGAGAAAAGCCCCAGCAGATG